TAGATCAGTTAAGGTCGGAAATCCGCAAGCTAGAAGCTAATGGGAAGGCCATGAGTGATATCATAAACAAGAAAGACGCGTCAGAAAAAGAAAAAGCGAAAGTTCAGCGCGAACTAAGTAATGCGCTATAATAGGAATTTCTGCTTAAGCCGATTTGCGTAAAATTTTAACTTTCAAACCGTTCATTCTTATAGAGCGCACCGTGGAAGAGGGGCATTCATTAAAGAAAGCTATTGAAGAAGAAAAATCTAGGCATGAGGAAGAGAAAACTCTACTTAAAGAGCAGATAGATGAGTTAAAAGAAGGGCTCAAGGAGGAAAGGAAGAAAGAGAAATCGCATAAAAATGAGATCAACACGTTAAGGAAGGCAATCGAAGAAGAAAAAAAGAGGATTAAAGAGATGGAAGAGATTGCTGCGAGCAAAAGTGACTTGCGAGATGAGAATGACCAATTATCTCGTCAACTAGATGAAATGAAAAAGATGAATGGTATATTATCGTCGTTGATCCGTGTTTTACATATAACCCGTGCATTTTATTGATTCAACTAGATTCGATCTCTTAGAATCACTTAAATCCGAAAGAGAAAAAGCCGCGGAAACAGGAATTCAATTACAGGGGCAATTAAGTAAGCGACAATCAATGTCCAATCTAAACTTAATTTTTATAATAAAAGAATTCAATTGACCTTTATTCTTTAGATTATATAAAGGAAGATAACGAAAAACTGCGAAAGGAAATCAATGATCTCAACATAAAATTAGGTGAGCATTCACAAACGGTAGGAAATCATCTAACAACTAACATCGATAATTATGCTCATTCATTATGGTGCATTTTGGTAGCCTTAGCGCAGCAGGCTTCACGACAAGAGCCCGTCCATAACAACTCACACGAATCATCGAACGAGGTCGAATCACCGACTTCTGTATCAACGAAGGACAGCAACAAAAGGCATGTAACCTTTTCCGAAAATGAAGGTTCCAACAATTCCAAGAGGGTCCGCCTCGAGGGTGACGGACGTCCGAAGAAAGTTACTCGTAGACGTGCTAACGGTGATGGGAGTCGTACCGCCAATCTTGACGATATGCCAGCAGTAGTTTTCCCGTTACCCGCAAACCCAAAGTTGAACAGTAAAAATTACGAGAAACTAAAATCTAAATTCAACATACCAAAAAAAGATTGATTACCTTAAACAGACAATTAGTTAGATAGAATAGAACCATGCTTAATTGTTATTTATTACTAAATACAAGATCACTTTCTCTCTTCCTAACTAATGCATTTAATATTCTTTAATTTAAAATAAATTTAACAACTAAAAGTTTTGCCAATCGTCATTGCATGCGATGAGAAAAAAAACATCAAAGACAATTATGTTGAGCTCATCGTTTAACAAACATTCCATTCTCCTTTGTAGTCGTTGACAGAGCACGCGCGGCAGCACGTACCTTCGGATCGTAATGTGTCTAGTGACAAAGTACACATCATTTCAGTTAAATCGTGAGACCGACCGGATTTGAATATCCGATAAAAAAGTTACCTCAAGTAAGCTCAACTCCCATAAGCTAGTTGCAAACGGATTGCACAATTCGGGATCATCTAATTCCGGTCGATAGATGCCGCTACATACCCTATCATCCGAGGTGAGTAACGCGTCTAACTTGGATTGTTGCTACAGACACATTAATTAATTAGCCCCAAGAATAAGAAAATCAAAATATCATTCGGGAAGCACGGGTAAATTACCTGAATCATTTTTTCCATTTTTTTTCAAACATGTCAATACAGATTTACCCGGCCAATTTAAGCATGCGATTGATAATCTTTTTAGAAATGCAGCGGATCGCTCCACCGGGATCTTTATATAAAGAATAAAGCAACATAGTTAGGTGTGAACTATGTTTCTTTAAAAGGATGGTAAACCGCTTACCGTCCTTCGCCTAAAAAACATGAAGTCAAATCCCTTCATCAATAATTGGTACTCAGTAGCCATACTATGTGCATTGCTGCATTCTCTCTCACTTCCGCTTTCCAAACTTTGTTTTCTTTCTTCGATGTTCACATTTAGCGCGAGTGGAATCAAGAGTTTATATAATTGCGCGTAAAAGTCCTTTAGGTCGACGTTGAGCGCTTCCCCTTTCGGGCAAAAGAAGGGAGGGAAGTGAGCGAAATAATGAAGGGAACACGAAATTTAACGGCAAGCTGTTACCTTGACCTGACAATAACTGAAATACTGTTATGATGCATAATAAACCCTTTCTGGTATCCATCCTTCGAGAATAATCGTCATCAACAAAGTCGAGAGCGCTCCCCATTATCTTCTTTAGTGATTCTAACAAATCGTTGAAAAAGTCCACATTGATGAGGTGTGCAAATCTACACGGTATATTTTAAAGAGACCGAATATTTCATCAGCATTGATCACATATTCTAAAACCGTGAAATTTTGTAAAATACAACTTTGCCAATCCTTCCAGGACAGGTAATAATAGCGGCGATGAACTGGCATGTTTTAGTATTCGAAAATATGCAATAAAAACCAACTTCAGTGTCTCCGTATGCTAATGTTGATCGATGCATCGTGTCGATTAATGTGAGTTTGAAAGTAATTATTCTCGATCATGGTAAGTCAACGACTTACGAGCTTCTCCCTTTCATCTTTGTCCACAACTGCCTCAGCCTCTTTCATCTCCTTCTCGATCTCTTTTCTCTCCTTCTCTAATTTTCTCATTTTTCTCGACATGTGTTTCTTTGGATCATGTTTATTATCAAGTTTCCTTTTTTTCCCACCAGTTTTAGATCCATCCCCTTCGTTTAATTTAATGCTTAATTCATCCTTCAGCCGAAGATGCAAAAAAGTATTTAAAACCTAGATGAGGGTAACATATTCTTCAACGAATATTGAAAAATAGGATTCGATTTCTTTTTGCATGGTGAAATCAAAATTACCTCTTCGTGAACTACATATCGTTTCGATTTGATCATCTTCGTTATTAACCTAACCGCATCTAGGCTTGCCTCACCAGACTCGTCTTTTTTAAACACTCGGATAATAGCATCGCAGCACATTGTAGACATCTGCAAATGGCACATTAATGCCGTTTCAGTGTTAAATTAAAATACAGGATTAAAGGGAAATGTACCTTGTTGAATTTGGGGATGCTCATCCTTTGCACGATAACAGTCATCAAGTTCAATCGAAAATTGAAATGCGTGACTGATACCAAAAGATCGCACATACATTGTAAGGCGACTTCCGTGCAAGATTGTTCTTTCGTAAAAAGTCAGTATGATGGAATAAAATTTTTAAATTTATAGCCACTAGCATGAGAAAGATGACTCACACCTCTTAACCCGACCTCGAGGGATTTTAAGTATGCCTGGTAATTGGAAATAAGGCTTTCCTCAAAGTGACGGATTTTTTTGATTTCTTTGGAAACCTTATTTCGTTTAAAGAAAGAGAGGGCGAAAATTAGAAGACTACCTCAATAATATAAAATATATATCCCGAATATAGGGATCACCTGCGCAGTTTTTTCTTTGTCCGTCAATTGTCGAATTCGATAACTAGAAAAAAACATGTCTAAATAAATTCGTATGACAAAGAGCTACGAACGCACAAAATTGAAACTCACCCAGGTATAATATCCTTGTATACCGCTAGCTGAACCAACAATGCAAGCCTCCTGATCGTAAGTCTTTGATCAGTCGCAATTTCTCGCAAAGCTTTGAGTTCACCAATCTAAAGACATAAACATAGTAAGTTCCTTTAGCGATCAGGCAAGAAAGTTACTTGGTGGACTTACATTTTTCTCGGGATTCTCAATAATTTTTTGAGCAATATCTGCCAATTCTTCTTTCTTTTGAATGACATACAACTTGTCCGGTATTCTTTGGTCGGGCAAAGGTTTCTCGTCATCTTCTGAACGTCCGTTTACCTCAACTGCACTCTCAAAAACAGAAGCCGATGTTGAACTTTCGTCGACTTCATCTTCTGTATTAATTTCCGCTAAATCATCGATCCAATATAGACAATGAATGTGCTTGACAATACATTTGATTAACCGATCAATCATCCAAATACTATACTCACATCTCGCCACAGGATCCTGCTGTTGGAGCTTTCCATCCGGTAACTTGATCGGAAGTTTCACCGGTTCTTTGTGTGCCCAAGTTCTATTTATGCGAGGTGTCTTTTCATATTCCTGTTCAGTATCAGAGTCCGCCTTTGGATTTTCGTTTTCTTCTGAACCGGGACCCTCCGTTTCCCCTTCGCTCTCACTTTCACTGCTTGATGAAGGAGAGTTTTTTATTTCTTTGACGAGTCTAGGATTTTTTGCGGGTTTTCCCTTATTCATATCCTTCCTAGGTAATTTTTGGATTGGGCGAAGAAATATTCGGTCAGTTGAATCAATTGAACTCACCCGTTATTCCCGTGAGAAGTTATAAAGATACTTTGCTTGTGTAAAGCTACCGGATCGATTTTATTCAGAAATTCCGTGTACTGAGCGTGCTCTTTGAAAAATTCGACATCCTCTTCTGAAATTTCAGCATCCTCTTCGTTGACATTGTTGACGATGGGTAAAATTTTAACCTCCCTTTTCTAGTTGTTCGTTAATAAATTATCGATCAATAAAAACATTCAGGAAACAAATGATTCGGGTAGGACGCGCACATTGGTTTTCTTTCGAACGTTCACATTTATTTTTGCATTTTTAGAGGATTTCGATGATTTCGACTTTAAACCTTTGAATTTTTTTGAGGACATTTGAATTATTAGTAGACACGTACTTCATTGTACCACATAATATACTCGGTTTTTGATAATCAACTGACTGCATACAAGATGGGGTGGTCCAATTAAATTTATTAATAATAAATAATAACAAATACGTATATTCTATTCATTTAAATGTTTTAAGTCCTTGAGGCGAAGAAAGTAAACTCAGATGTGACCAAGTTCAATTTCCAATTCCTTTTCAATAACTTGTTTGACCAGTTCAGGATCTGCCCGTTCGACATGTATAATTTTTTTCTCTTTCTCCAGTAGCCCGACAAATTCTTCGGGCAAGATTTCGTCGAATTCAAATCCCTTAAAATTATTTAGTGAATCCATGACAGCCGAAGAGAATTTTGCCGGATGTGCTGTGGCAAGACAAATTTGATAGGTGCCTCTACAAAATGACAACAATGGTTTGAGTAAGATAAAAAGACTTTAATAAGTGGCATATTTGGTTTTCACCTACTTTGGTATGACCTGACGTTCCGCGACCGCCACACCAACTGCGGTGTGCGGATCCAAAATATATGAAATTTGGTTTTTGTTGTCTTGAGGCGAATAAAAACGACTGATTGTGTCCATAGTCTACGTACATAATGAAGGATTAAAATTTTATATTCATCCCGCGTAGGAAAAACTTGCTAGAAACATTCACCTCTTTGTCCGTAACCTTGGCGCTTCCGAAATCCCGTAAAGCTATTTCCAATTGTGACTTATTAACAACCAGTCGATTTTCTGTCTTTAAATTTTTCATCCACTGGTCCACAATTGAACCGGCAAGATTTGATCTCCTCTCTTCCTTGTTTAACACCTCTGGATTATCGATGGTCTCGTATGCTAAATACCATAGCAATCTTTCAAAATTGCTAGAAACGATTATGTCCATTGCGGGGCTTAGAGTCTCGTGCACTACGTGTCGACCATCTTCACCGGTCACTTTTTCGTATCTACCCGATTTGAAAAACCTATCCAGGATGTCATTCGAGTTGGTTGACACAATCAACTTTTCAATAGGCAACCCCATACGTTTAGCATAGTACCCCGCTAACACATCACCAAAATTACCCGTCGGCACAACGTATTGCAGATGTATATCAAATGATTCGGGTGAATTTGGGGAAATACCCAATGACGACAATAATTCAAAATAAGAATGAAAGTAGTATACGATTTGTGCTAAAATTCTTGCCCAATTTATCGAATTAATAGCACCCAGGTGATTCTTTTGGTTGAACGGAACATCTGAAAAAAGAGTTTTAACAATGGCCTGTTGAAAATAGGTGAAACACGTTAAGTTTGCGCATGGATCCTGCCTGTACAAGAAGAGATTTTATTGCAACAGTATATTTGCCTGACAATCGTCAAAGGTCCCCTCAACTGCTAAATTATGAACATTCCTATCCAAAATTGTTGTCATCTGAGCTTCCTGAATAGGTGAAACCTTCCCTCGAGGATGAAGAATGAATACAGAAATGTCCTTCTTGCCTCTCAACCCATAAATCGCGGCACTTTATGAAAAGGAGTCAATCGATCAATTAAACAACCAACCATACAAAGATTGTGAACATTTTCATTCACCTTCCAGTATCTCCGCTGGTGGCACCGAGAATAGTAATCCTTTCTTTCTGATCTTCTCCACGCGACTTTTCCTCGTTCCTTTTTTCCAACAAATATTCGAATAGATTTCCTAAAAACTGCAGCGCCACATCCTTAAAAGCGAAAGTAGGTCCATAAAACAATTCTAAAATATAGAAATTGTCTTTAATTTTTTTTAATGGCGTAACTTTTTCGCTCTTAAAGACTGAATAAGATTTGGTGATTAATGATTCTAAATCAGCACGAGGAATTTCACTTTCAGCTATATAAAGGGAAAAAATCTCCAGAGCTAACGAATTAAAGGAACGTCCCGACCATTCTGATCGCCATTTCGGAGGAAGAGTTGGAATGGTCTGTGGAATGAAAAGGCCTCCATCCTCTGCTAAACCCACCAAGACCGCTTCCGAGAACGATAGAAGTTTAGGAGAACCCCTTGTGGAATGGTACTTCATTTTTTCGTAGAAAAGATCAAGTGAGGATTGGCTTAGATAATCGGTCATCGATCATTTAAAAAAGTTTATTTTCCGAAACAGGTAAGCAAACAAATGTTATGCATGTACATACAGTAAAGCGATCTTGGTTCTTGAATATTTTGATACGGATATCATTGATTAGTTTTTATACAATCTAACTGTAGCATATTAGTATGAATTAAATTAATAATTTTTGAAACTTACTTAGTATCTATCTTATATATTACAAGAACTCTTTTTTTTGATTCACAATCATAATGGTATGTCTTTATTGAGATATCAGAAAAACATTTACAAAATTACATGGACTATTCACATGATGACTAACTTATTAAACAAAACAGTTTAAATTAGTTACTCTAAGTTAGATTAAAAGAAAAAAGTAAAAAATCTTGGAAAATATTTGGCAAAGTAAAACCAATTAAGATTAGTTTTAAAAAAGTCAAGCTGAGATTTTTAAAGGAAAAAGAAAAGCAAATAGAAAAGGAGAAAGAGGAGAAAAAAAAGAAAAAGGAGAAAGAGGAAAATGATGAATAATTTGGTCAATTGATTTTGTAATTTTTTAATAAATTTCATGAATTTTGAATTTTTTGCTATAGTAATTTTTTTGCTGAATTTTTTTTTATATTAATTATTTTTGCCAAATTTTTTTCCACAATAATTTTTTTGCTAAATTTTTTGCTCCTGTATCAATTTTTTTACCAAATTTTTTCTCACAATATGCAAAAAATTTTTTTGCCACAGTATACAAAAAAATTTTTTACTACAATATTATTAGATTTTGTGCTAAATTTTTTTTTATAATATACTGATATTTTTTTGCCAATTTTTTGCTAATATTTTTAATATCAAGTGATAGCAATCATAAATAATTCATAAATTTTTTTATTATTAATTTTTG